TCTGAAGTGTTCCCAGCACGTCACAGGTGCTCCGGCCATCTTCAGGGGCAATGGCTGGCAGCTAGTGGTGATGGCATCCTGTGTGCTGAGGACCCTTCAGAGGGTTGTGGGACCCATGATTGGTTCTGGGAAACAGAAGAGAGGGATCAGGGAGGAAATGGGGATGCTGCTGTGGTTTTCTTGGTCCTGGCCTGCTGCCCCTTGTTCTCACCACAGGACTGGAAGGAGGACATGTTAGCACACTCCAGCAGATGGGGATGGAGGAGGGGCTCTTCCTCATGGTTCCTGGCTGATCTCTCGGTTTCGTGCTGCAGGGTCCTCCTGGAAATCCTGGCCCCCCTGGCCCTCCAGGTCCTCCTGGCCCTGGCATCGACATGTCTGCCTTTGCCGGTCTGGGACAGAGAGAGAAGGGCCCTGACCCTCTGCAGTACATGCGAGCTGACGAGGCAGCCAGTACCCTGAGACAGCATGATGTTGAGGTGGATGCCACACTCAAGTCCCTCAATAACCAGATCGAGAACATCCGTAGCCCTGAGGGTTCCCGCAAGAACCCTGCTCGCACCTGCCGGGACCTCAAACTCTGCCACCCCGAATGGAAGAGCGGTTAGTCTGGAGGACAGGGCCCTGCCCCCAGAGAGGAGTCAGCTCACCAGTACAGCTGCCTTCCGCAGCCAGGCAGACATACCCCATTATACCTCAGTGCAGGACAGAGCCAGGCCTGGAAGGTTCTGGCAGATAGCCATGCCAGAAGTGACTTCAGGGTAGATCCAGCAGGCAGGCACTGCATCTGCCCTTTTTCCTTAGCCCCTTCTTTAGCGTCAAGGATTCCATCCAGATTTCTTTGTCCCTGTGTCCTTCAGTCTGGCTCCCTTGGACCACACACAAGCCTCCCCTCTGCTGGTTTCCCAGTAGGCTGTCTCTCCTAGGCAGCCTGGCCCTCAGGGTTGAGTCTGAGCCTGATGGGTGCTGCCTCTTTTCCTGTAGGAGACTACTGGATTGACCCCAACCAGGGCTGCACCTTGGATGCCATGAAGGTTTTCTGCAACATGGAGACAGGCGAGACTTGCGTCTATCCCAGCCCAGCAAGTGTGCCCAGGAAGAACTGGTGGAGCAGCAAGAGCAAGGAGAGGAAGCACATCTGGTTTGGAGAGACCATCAACGGCGGCTTCCACGTGAGTGCTCCTGCTCTAGGCCAAGCAGCGCCACGTTTCTCTTCTCTCTCCCTCCTCTTTGGCCCCTTCCCCACATTTTCCATCAATATTCCTTTGGGCTTGAGAGGAAGAAAAGAGGAGGAAGACTCTCTCTCCCGATTTAGAGCTCGAAAAGAGGTCTTCTAAACTCGCTCCATTCCCTGGAAGCAGAAACATCATCCCATCTCCCTACCATCATAGAACCCCGGCAGCTGCTCTGAGCCCTGAAGAGCTGAATGCCCCGCAGCCTCTGATCCCAGTGAATGTCAGCTCCCAGGCCTCATACCCTGGCTCTCTGCCCACAGTTCAGCTACGGTGATGACAACCTGGCTCCCAACACTGCCAGTGTCCAGATGACCTTCCTACGCCTGCTGTCCACTGAAGGCTCTCAGAATATCACTTACCACTGCAAGAACAGCATCGCCTACCTGGATGAAGCAACTGGAAATCTCAAGAAGGCCTTGCTCATCCAGGGCTCCAATGATGTGGAGATAAGGGCTGAAGGCAACAGCAGGTTCACGTACACTGCCCTGAAGGATGGCTGCACGGTAAGTGGGACTACCTGGAGTGGAGCTGAGGTTGACCTATGGCAGGTGTCCTGGTCAGAGTGATAAGATCATTGTAGGCTTGAGTCAAGGAGGTATAGGAGGAGACAAGCAGGTAAGAGAGAGGTGCATATTGCTGCCAGTTTATTGGGAAGTCTGTTGTGGAGACGGAAGGAGGGAGACGAGAAGGAAGGAGAGGGCTGTGCTGTTGAAGTGAAGACGTTTTGGATAAGCCAAGAAGTCTAGGAAGCCTAGGGTGGTTCACTCTTTGTGGTTGCCTAGTTTGGGGGTTGTGGGCAGCTGGTATGTGAGTGGAAGACATCTACTGAGTAGCATTTCCTCTTTTTCTCCCTAGAAACATACCGGTAAGTGGGGCAAGACTGTCATTGAGTACCGGTCACAGAAGACCTCACGCCTGCCCATCACTGACATTGCACCCATGGACATAGGAGGGCCTGAGCAGGAATTTGGTGTGGACATAGGGCCTGTCTGCTTCTTGTAAAAACCGGAACCAGAAACAATACAATCCATTGCGAACCCAAAGGACCCAAGTACTTTCCAATCCCAGTCACTCTAGGATTCTGCACTGAATGGCTGACCTGACCTGATGTCCATTCATCTTGCCTCCCAGTTCGGACTATTCCCCACTTTCTAAGAGACCTGAACTGGGCAGACTGCAAAATAAAATCTCGGTGTTCTATTTATTTATTGTCTTCGTGTAAGACCTTTGGGTCAAGGCAGAGGCAGGAAACTAACTGGTGTGAGTCAAACGCCCCTGAGTGACCACCCCCAGCCCAGACCAGAAGATCCCTGCAGGTGCTGGGCGCAGGAACTGTGTGTCCTACACAATGGTGCTATTCTGTGTCAAACACCTCTGTATTTTTTAAAACATTAATTCATATTAAAAACAAAAAAATTAATGGAAAGTACATGCTGACTTGTTTCTTCGGTTTGTTCCCATTAGTCCTTGACTCTATAGACGTGCCCAAATGTGCTCCTGGGGCCTTCTACTGGCATTGTAGTCAAGCGTGGGGTGTTAGAGGTCACACTGCCTGGTTTAGCAACCTCACACGCACAGACTTGCCTCTTTTGTAAGCTCTGGCATGGCACAGAACCCAGTGGTGGCCTGGGACCAGAGACCAAATGTATTAGTGTCATGTTATCACAGCAAAATACTCAACACAGGTTACTTATGAAGTAAAGTTTTAGTTCATGGTTCTGGAGGTTCAAAATGATAAGTAAAATATAAAGTAAGATAAAAATAACACTTTTGCCATTTGTTTGCAAGATTAGACAGCCCTATGGATCTAGGCCTTCAGTGATAGCAGCAGCTTATAGCAGCAGCTCAAGTCACAGCCAGAGCTCCTCCAGGAGCCAGGAGCAGAGTGAGAGGAAGACAGCAGGGTCCCACAGTCCCTTCTGAAAGTCTGCCCCAAGACCTGAGACCCTCCACTTCTCAAGGTTCCACCACCTACGAGCATCACCCTGGGGACCAAGCCTTTAACACAAGCACCTTCTAGGGACACTATATCCAAACCGCTATTTGGGAAGAGAGGCACACTAGAGGGATGACCCCATCCTTGAGAGTAGAAACTGAACACACCTCCCCAGCAGGCTAGCCGAAAGGCATAGAGCACTGAGATCTTGTATATGTGTTCGCAGTGTTGGGGAGGTGCAGAGAGTGTGTGGGCCATAGCTGGGTGGGAGATACCATGGAAGGTGGGGTGGGAAAGAGGTGAAAGGTGAACACAGAGCAAGAGTGTGAATTTCTCAGGGGCCTCTGATAGGTGCATATAAGCAATCTGGATGATTATGTAAGGTTTGGGGCCAAGGAGGGAGGGAAGGGCAACCCCTCCCTGCCTCCAGCCTCCTTTTCCCATCCCTTCATCATTCCCTGGACCTTCACTTCAAGTCTCCATGGGTCTCCTCTGAATAACACCAGACTTAAGGATGGAAAGTTTCCCTTTCCCCTACGGCCATTGCTTTCAAAGCCTTGAGTGTGTGCATCAGAAATGGGCCCGTTCCTTTCCCCACTAGAGAGTCGCAATGGTGGTAATGTGTGACGTGGGCAGGATTCCTTGACAGCATTTTGTGAAACAAATGTGACAGCTTTTCTTTTAAAAAAATAAAAAGAAACAAAAGATATCTTTGTTGGACTTTTATTTACATTAATCCTCAACTGATGATGTAAAATTCATTGAAGGGAATGAGTATAGCTCTATGGTAGAGTGCTTCCCTAGCATACACAAGACCTAGTGTTTGAGCCCCAGCATCACACACACACACACACACACACACACACACATAAAAATATATTTATGTATTATGTAAACTTTAGCATGTCCACAATGGCTCACCAGTTCCTTAAACATATAGACCTAGTGTGTGTGCGCCACCATCACGCACACACACACACACCAACACACACACACACACACACACGCCTCACATAGACATAACAACCTCCCATCTACCAAGAGAGCTAATGATGTCTGTCACAGGGGAGGCCAGGCCGACTGGGTGGACGCTTAGGAAACTTGCCTTAGATGACAGGTGGAGCTGGGAGCTGCCGGGAGTGCAGCTCCAACCTGTCAATCCAACTGCAGAACCAGAACTCCTGGCTCACTCCACTGTCTGCAAACAGGTCCCTGATCTTTCTGAAGAAAGCAGTCCAGTAGACCCGGCGGCTGGCTTAGACCTTTGTGAGAAGCCATCGGGTATCTGGGTATTTCCCAGTTCCTGGGTGTCTCGTAAATCCTGGATGTACTAGCAACTGCTCCCCAGGGAACGGAGGAGGGGAGCAGCAGCAGCAGCAGCAGGGGCTCGAGTGGGAAGTAGAGTGGGAATTAAGGTCAAGTCAAAGCACACAGCTTGGCCTGTAGAGCGCGGCTACCTACAGTTGCTTTAGCTCTCAACCTGGCCCAGAGAGGAAGGTGAGAACAGCCAGGGTCATTGCTAAGTCCTGGATCCCTGATACCTTGGGAAAAGAAGGAGGTCTCTCCAGTTAGAATAGGATCCAATTGATTCCTGAGCCAGCAGAGTGGCCCACTGATCTCAAGGGCTTGGTCAGGATTTTTTTTTTTTTTTTACTGTCTTATACTTCCTTTCTCTGGAAGCATCTAGCATAAAAAGCCTTTGGACTAGAAGCCAGCAGCCTAGGCTCCAGCCAAGACTGCCTCTCAAGTTCCTTGGATGCTGAGTAGGTCATGAGACAACTTCTGAAAGGCCCCCTTTCTATACAATGGAAAGAACACAGAATCTTGAGTGCTGACAAATAATGGAGACTTTTATTTAGAAAGGAAAAGGTTACTCTGCCCGAAGGAGACAATCTGTGGCTGTGGCTGTGGCGATTTATGCAGGTTGTTTTTTGTTTTTTTTTTCTTCTGCAATTGGGTATCAGTACTTTTAACAAACTGCTGGATTCTTTAACAATTTGTTCCCCAGTTTGGGCTAGAATCCCAATGTGGTTGACTCCAAGATCTTGAAGGTCTTATTGTGGGGTAATTGGGACTGCAGAATGATTGGTGGCGATGACCCCTGGCCTACACGGGACCTGGTGAGAGGTATAAATTCCTAGCTGTGACTGGACAAAATGTGCCAGAAATTGCAATCCTTGGCATTCAGCAGTCAATACTTTAGAATTAGTAAACGTACAAATAAATGGAGATTTCTACATGCAGGGACTCTTCAACCAGGAGACTATACCAGCAGCATGAGATAAAGGAAGAGGTCGCGGGCTCAACAGTGACGGGGGGACGGGGCTCCAGCAACACTGCGCCTTCAGGATGCATCCTCTGCAGCTCCTTGCCGGTTTCCATCCACTGAGAACACAGTGGGATGTAAGGACACCTGAGCCCACCACCTCCTCTTTCTAATTTGGGGGGTGGCTGAAAGAAAATTCTAGGTATTTGATCAAGAACTGACAGATACGGGGGTGGGGAGATAGCACTGCTGGTAAAGAAGTTGCCTTGCAAACAGTAACACTTCACTTCAATCCCCAGAACCCACATTTTAAAAGCCTGACATGGTAGTGCATATAAGCCCAGCACTGGAGAAGGGAAGAGGCACATGCCTGGGATTCACTGGCCAGACAACCTACTGCACTCAGCGGGCCGCAGGTTAGTGAGAAACCACACCTCAAAATCAAGGACCTGAGGAACAACAGCCAAACACACAACGGATGTGTACCCCCCACATGAACGTATACATACACGTACAAAGAACTGACAAATACCATGTTAAACCATGAAAGGCACCTCAATGTGAAGTTTGGGGTGCTAAGGACACAAGTAAACATGTTCACAGCATTACAAGACCAGAATTAACTGCATGTTTTGAAACTTCAATTGCATTGGCTGGGTGTGGTGGTGCACACCTTTAATCCCAGTACTCAGGAGGTAGAAGCAGGCGGATCTCTGTGAGTTCGAGGCCAGCCTGGTCTACATAGCGAGTTCCAGGCCAGTTAGGGCTACAGGGAGGCCCTGACTCGAAACAAACAAAAAAGGTCACAAAAACGAGCAGCTTTTTCAAAACTGTGCGGAAAACACCATGGAGGCAATTTTAGAAAGTGAGAAAACAAGGGGTGGGGAGATGGCTCAGTGGGTAAAGCGCTTGCCCTGCAAGCATAAGGACCTGAGTTCAGATCCTCAGCTCCCACGTAAAAACTGGGCATGGCGGTGTGCATCTGTAACCCCAGCACTGGGGCTGAAGACAGGCAGATCCCTGTAGTTTGCAGGCCAGTCAGTCTAAACAGACAATCTGTCAGCTTCAAGCTCAGTGAGGAGCCCTGTCTCAAGCAATTAGAGAAACTGAGGCGGACGCCTGCCATCAACCTCTGGTCTCTACACACATGTATTCGCATGTGTGCACATACACACACAATCCAGAAAGGGAAATAAGAAATGCACCCAGGGCATGCCCTGTTTGAGGTATCATTCTTGCTCATCACCATGAGCCTTGTCACGGGTGTGGCAGCAGCACAGCTCCAGGGCTCAGCCTCTGCACTGTTTACTAAATTGTGGTTGACTGGTCATGGGGGTGGGGAGCAAACCTAGTGTCAAGCGCCACCACCAGCTGCTGCTTGGCAAGGTTCTCCAAGGCCCCTGCCAACGGGGAGCCGGGCCCACCTCAGCAGAGCCCGGACCTGGCCACTCACGCCTCCTCTGAGACTCTATCTTGCGGCTGCAGTCCATCCATTGGCAGACAAGAGTGCAGACTAGCTGAAGGAAAATCCCACCTCAAACCAGGTCCTCTTAGTAGGTGGAGGTGTGTGGGGTGCTAATCCTCCTCACGGAAGCTACTTCATTCCTGAGACATCTCCATCTCCAACCTCCAGAGGGCACTGTGTGCTCTGTTCTAGAAGAGCCACAGGCCAACACTAGGGCTCCATGGGCTAAATCTGGGACTTAAGGCAGGGCCAGGACTCAACTGAGGACTCTAACTCTCCTCAGACAGACAGCACAATACAGAGAACACCATCCTTACTAGACATAGGAAGATGGTCCTCCCACCTCAGCAGCCTTCACTGTAAAATTCACCTGGAAATAAATAAGACCTTGAATCAGCTTGTGACAAGCAAGCTTAGCATAAAAGAACTATTGTTCTTTTATGTCCAGACCTGGATCATTCTTCATCACGTGTAAAGTTTCTTCCTTATACAGCCTAGGAGCCTCTAATGAATACTTCTAACCTCTTCTTTTTAGAGGCCAGTAGGCCTCAGGCTATAATACCACCTCCTTCAGATTTGGCAAGTGTCTTTCTCGTACAAAGTCTTTTGCTCCCAAGATACTTAAATACTAGCTATTTTTGTCCCTTCCCCACAACTGTTCATAATTACAGAGCCATCAGGTCTTCCTCAGGTGGGGATGAGAGGAAAAAAGGAAAGAGCCCAGCTACAGTACCTGCTCTCCTCCCGTGCCCATGGGCCAGAGGCCCTGAAGGACGCCAAACCAGCTGCTCACTTCGCGGTGGGATGAGCAACACGTTAGTGGTTGCGTATGTGCCAGCCACGGCTTTCATGTACTGAACTTGGCTGAAAAGGTTGGTTGCTTCCACAGAATAGAAGTTGGAGCTCTTAATTTTCAGGGTGGCCTGGAAAAGGGCAAGGGAGGAACCAAGTGTTAAGTATCCCGGTCCATGGGCAGTGAGTGCACAGCCCAGGAAGTGAGGCCGTAAGTCTTACCACGATAGCGAGGGTTACCAGGGAGTCCTGTTTATTCAACGTGACCTTCACCACCTTGATGCCATTATCGTCCATGGCAATCGAATGTGGAAAATGAAAGAAAAACACCAAGCCAGATGCTAGGAGGCAGAGCAGGACTGACTGGAGGACATGCTGCTTACTGCAAACGACAGCACAGGACCAAGTGGGTGCCAGAATTACGGTCCCAACAGTCACGATTAATGCAAAACGAGGAACTGAGGTACAGTGAAAGGAAAGCACAGAGAAACAGGAAGAAGGAAGAGGGCATGGGGAAACTTTCAAACCCATTTGAACACCATTTGCACCCTGAGAAGAGAAACCCATCTTTTCATTTGCTAGGTACCTGCTCATCTCCAGGACACCATGCTCCCCCAGTTCCTTCCAATTCCATCCTCCCAGTTAACTTTTCTAGCCTCAAGTTTCCTTTCCCAGACTATAACAGAGACAGAGATATCCCATTTAGGCAAACAGTACTAAAGGAAATAGGGAGGGCTGGGGTCTAGCTCAGTGGCAGAGTACTTGCCTAGCATGCAAGGTTCAAGCCCTGGCACCACCATTTATAAGTAAACAAAATGGGGCAGTTACAAGACCAGATATCTTTTTCAAAGAATTAACTGGCATTCATTCATGAAAAGAAATAAGGGACAGAAATAGGCTCCAACAGGTAAGAGCCAGCCAACTCACGTTCTCTGAGGTCACAGTCTCTGATCACTGTGGGGGATCAAAGCCACCAACTCATTGATTTGTTCCAGAAAAGAACCAAATGCTCACTTTGTAGATCCCATGTATTGGCAGTACTTTTCTTCGCACTTGACTGTAAACTGCCACAGCAAACTCATCCAGGATTAGACACTAAAAAGCACATTTTCGGTCAAATGAACAAGAAACAGGCAGACGTAGAGAGAATGCCACCGATTATAAGACCTGTCTGTACTGTTTGGACAGTGACATCAAAGTTGAGGAACCTGGTGTTTTATTCAGGTTTTACTGCACTGGCTTTGGAAAAGTCACTGAACCTCTTGAAACCACCGTGGAAACACCTCTATTATGAAGCTTTGGAGTAAATGGTTTCCATAGTTCTTATTAGCTCTGAACTTTGGGACTCTCCATCCGAGAATTTAAAAGCAGATGTTCCCGGACCAATTCCAGACTCTACTCCTGAGCATCTGTTTGTTTCTCCCTGCCTCCTGGTATTTTGTCAACCTTAGGATAATGAGTCACTGTTGCTTCTTTGTAAAGAAGCTTCTAGGACGACACTTCTACAACCTTGTGCAGCTCCTTATGAGCAAAAGCAATAAAGATGTCCTTTATTCCACAACAGAGAAATAAATATTCTAATCCAGAGAGGGGCAGGGATAGTTCTGATGGTTGATGATAACTGTCGATTTGAATCTAGAATCTCCTGGGAAGGGAGTTTCAATGAGGGATTGTCTAGATTAGTTAGACCTTAAAGTATGTCTGTGGGGGATTTTCTTAATTGGGTTAACTGAGGTGGGAAAACCCACCCTAAATGTAGGTAGGTCATTGCCTGGGCTGGGTCCTCAGTTAATGAAAGGGAGAAAGGGAGTTGGGTACCTGAGTACCGGGCATCCCCTGTTCTGCTTCCTGACTATGAATACAATGTAACCAGCTATCTCCTGTTCCCGGTGCTGGGACTTCCCCCTCAATGATGGATGGGACTGTAACCTGGAGCTGTGAGTCAGAAAAACAAAGAAACAAAAAACCCCTCTACCCCTCAGATGCTTTTGTCAGAGTATTTTATTGCAACAACCAGAGATTAAGACAGTAATAAAAGAGTAGAAATAAAGCAAAGAACGGGTTTCAAATATAGGATGATCAAAAGAAGTTGTGGGATCTGCTGAAGTTTATCACAGTTGAGCTGGCTCCAATTCAGGGCAGTCTGTGCTTATCAAGGAAGGGCTGTCTGGGAGAAATGTGGTTAGAGCTGGATAGAGTGTAAAGCAGTTAAGAGCACTGGCTGCTCTTGCAGAGGACCCAGGTTCAAATCCCAGCACCCACACGGCAGCTCACAACTGTCCATAACTCCAGTTCCAGGGGATCCGAGAGCCTCTTTCGTCCTCCGCGAGCACTGCACGACATGGGTGCACTTACCTACATGCAGGCAATACACGAACACACATAAAAGAAAACAAACAAAATATTTTTAAAATACAGGAAAACAAAAGGTAAAATACTAAAGTAGCCCAACACCGGCACAATTCTACCCTCATTCTGCAGTACTCCTTTCCCCACCCCCAAGACAGCTAGGGACGGGGGCCTCCAGACCACCCGCACCCTTGCTCCCACCTGGTCCAGCCTTGCTTCCTCCCCGTAGTTTGCGAACTCTGTGCCTTTCTCGACAGGACAAACGACAGGCACCACATTAATAACAGGCCTTAGAGCAGCCAGGACTCCCAGGCAGGCAGAGTCAGTCCCGGGGCCTGGAGCTCGCGAACTCCCAGCTGTCACTCTGACCACCACTCCTCCCTCCACCTGTCGGTCCAGCGTGTTTACCCACGCGCCTCCTCCGTGCGCAGGCGCAGAATGGCGAGCTCGCTGGAGCCTGCGCTCTGAGCTCGGGTAGCCGTCCCTCCCCGCTGAGCAGCTGCCGAGCACCTCGGCGCCGGTAGAGGGCAGCAGAGGCCCCACCTGTGCGCCGGGGACGCTTCCCGAGGTCTCGGCTAGCTGCAGGAGCGGGCCCCAAAGCTCAGTTTTGCAAGCTGGTCCTGTTTCAGGACCATCCTCTAAAAGAAAGGCACGTTAGAATAAAAGATTCAAGAGAGCCTCCAAAAGGACAGGGTTGTGCATGATGCCAGGTTGAGCGAACTCTGCATCGGAAATTAGGCCGACAGGTGAAGAGGCTAAAGATGGGGCTGGAAGCCTGCTGAGATGGTGCAGGCCAGTCATCTCAGTACCTGGGAGTCGGAAGCAAGAGGATCGCCTTAAGTTCAAGGCTAGCCAAGAGCCAGGTCTATAGAGTGAGTCCCTCCTCTCTCTCTCTCTCTCTCTCTCTCTCTCTCTCTCTCTCTCTCATATATATATATTCGTCAGCAAGAAAGTACAGCAGAAAGAGAAGCCTTATTTTGAAATATTCTGAATGTGGATAAATGAGGCATCTGAGTAAATGGAGAGAGACTGGCCACCTGCCACCTCCATTCGGTTCTTATGTCCCTATGGGACCCATCTGGTCCTGCTGTCTAGATACTTATCAGCCCATTGAGCCTTTAACCAGGAGCCTCCACTCCCTCCTCCACCTCTGGTCCTCACCATCCCCTGAAGTGTTTTGCAACTCTTTCTTTGAAATTTTTATTTCACTGTATGTTTCTTATTTAAATAAACTTGATGATGTTAATAGAAGCAAACACAACTAAAAATATATTTCGCAGTCTCCCTTGTAACTAGACATGGTCATATGATATTGTTCTGTCCAATGAAGGCTAAGAAGTGTGAAATTCTGCGACAAATCTTTCAAAGAGATGTAGGTTCAACTGGCCCTTCGACTTTCGTTTTTCTGTTTGGAATTTGAACTTGATATTGTAGATTAGGGCAGCCATATTGTGACCGTGAGGCCGTGAGGAGTGCTGAACAGAAGTATAAAAGAAATCTAGGCCCTGAGAGAATGCCTGTCTTCTGAGTTCTCATGCCCTTGCAGTGGAACACAATCTCAACACATCTTCAGATCACTTCAAGTGGTACTAAGGGCACAGACTGCCTTAACCATGCACGGTGTAGACCATATCCTCTCCCAACTTCCTCTGTTAGGGTGCTTGCCCTTCAACAGAGGGAGACCCAGGCCTGCCTGAGTCCTGCCCAGGTTAGGCTTTCCTTCGTGGAGGTCTTTCTGCCTTTGGTAGGAAATTCACCCAGAATGATTCATTCTCTACCAAGAGATAAACGGATCCCTTCCAAAAGTCCATTCTCACAAAGACGTAACCTTACTTTGCGACCTCTACTGGATACTGCACAAGTCGTAGCATGCAAATAACCTGATGTCCATGTCACAGATGGACATCACAGTGGGAGCAGGGAGAACCAGTAGGCAACAGTCTGACGTGCCTGCTGAAGAGGAAGAAGAGCCTAGAAGACTGAGGGCGGGGGTGCTTCATAATGACAGCAGACAGACTGAAAGCAGGGAGCCTGTAGCCCGGAAGGAGCAGGCTGGGTTGGTGGGCCTAGAAAGGGAGTCTGGCACATCAGCAGCAGAACCCTGAGGCTGTTTGACCGTTTCCAGTGTGGCTTGTGCTGTTCCCTATCCCCCAGCACCCAGCTTGACGCCTGGTGTGTAGTAGGCCCTCAGTAAGTGCTTGCACAACTACCCAGCCTGGAAGCTGGCCAGGGTGGCCTGGTCCCAGCATCTGCTCGAGCTATCTGGGAGGCAGTCTTAATCGGCCAGCACATTCCTAAGGAGACAGCCATCGCTTCTCACCCATGCTTCACTTCCAGGTTTGTCTCACCATCCTGGTTATGAGTGGTGAGGATAGTGTAGACATGAGCTCACTGGGGTTCTTCAGGTGGCCAGGGCAGAGTGAGGCCACCCGGGCATTTCTGAACTCCCAGTCTCCTAAGTTTCTCCACAACCATTATGGACCACTGGTCCCAGAGGCTAAGGAAATAGTGGGGCCCTTAAAGTGCTTCTCGCTTGCATCCCTTCCCCAACTCAAGCACCAGAATGGGATGATGCAGGGGAGTTCTAAACTTAACTTTCCTCTGCACCAATGGAAACTAGGGTTTTCACTCAGAAATCATCTTCAGAGTCTTCGTTCTGCAACTTTTGTTTATCCATAGATGAAACTTGTGTAAGATTAAATGACAGTAAGTGAAAACGTCAGGACCACTGTTGTACTTTACTAAGGTGAACCGGGTCTTGGCCCTCTGCTGCAGCTGCTGGGGTACACAGGTAGATTTAAACGGCACACAAACCCTATTATTTGATTGTATCTGTGTTTACTTTCACGTGAACCTGAGATCTCAGCGCTCTAAGCTCTACCACCCGTGTCTCTAAAGTGAAGAAATGGTCACTGCATAGCCACAGAGCGTGAGGTGCTGCTCTTCTTCCATTTTACTGGTGAAGGGACCAGTGAATGACCCCAGAAATGGTGATAAGAACAAAGTCCTGCCTCTTTTTGCCCCGTTGTACTAGTTCCCATGAAAAATGACCCCGGGCATGGAGTTCTAGAAAGGAACACAGCGAAGACAGTAGGGCTCCAGGCAGGATACTGGGAGCCTGTTCAGAAAAGTTAAACACAGGGGTGCAGGAGTCTATGAGCTCAAGGAACTAAGAGCACCTACCTCCAAGGCCTCCAAAATCCTCAAAGCCAACGTCATCCAAATCGATCTACGAACCCATGCCTCCCACTGCCCCTTCCTTAAGGGTCATCGACTGCAA